GGGGGAGGCGGGGCCCTGGGGCTGAAACCACGCCCACCTCTCTGGCCCCCAACAGAAGCTGCGGGCCCAGGCGGAAGCGCAGCAGCCGGTGTTCGATGCCCTGCGGGACGAGCTGCGGGGGGCGCAGGAGGTGGGCGAGCGGCTGCAGCGGCAGCACGGCGAGCGGGACGTGGAGGTGGAGCGCTGGCGCGAGCGCGTGGCCCCGCTGCTGGAGCGCTGGCAGGCCGTGCTGGCCCAGACGGATGTGAGGCAGCGTGAGCTCGAACAGCTGGGCCGCCAGCTCCGGTACTACCGGGAGAGCGCAGAGCCGCTGGGCGCCTGGCTGCAGGACGCCAAGCAGCGGCAGGAGAAGATCCAGGCTGTGCCGCTGGCCGACAGCCAGGCCGTGCGGGAGCAGCTGCGGCAGGAGAAGGTGGGTGCGGGTCGGGAGTGGCCTGGGGTGGGGCCGGAGCGCGGGGCCCGTGGCCGCTGACCACCCCGCCCCCGCCCGCCAGGCGCTGCTGGAGGAAATCGAGCAGCACGGGGAGAAGGTGGAGGAGTGCCAGGAGCTTGCGAAGCAGTATATCAACGCCATTAAGGTGAGGCTCCCTGGCTTCCTGCGACCCTCACGGAGGCCCGGCACGTCAAGGAAGTCTCGCTGGGTCCTCAGGGGGCACCCTGAACCCAGGCCACACTGGTGAAAGCCTTGGGCGGGTTCAGGGGCAGGGTGAGAGAAAGCGAAGCTAGCAGCTGACCAGCGTGTCCTCACAGGACTATGAGCTCCAGCTGGTCACGTACAAGGCGCAGCTTGAGCCGGTGGCCTCCCCAGCCAAGAAGCCCAAGGTCCAGTCTGGGTCTGAGAGCGTCATCCAGGAGGTAGGGCCAAGGGTGGGGGCCGGTGGGGCCGGGTGGGCTGCATGGGCCCTGTGGCTCATGGCAGGGCTGACTCTGGCTGCATCCTTCCTCCTGCTCCCCAGTACGTAGACCTGCGGACTAGGTACAGCGAGCTGACCACGCTCACGAGCCAGTACATCAAGTTCATCAGTGAGACCCTGCGGCGCATGGAGGAGGAGGAGGTATGGCCTGCTGGGGGTGGGGGTGCCGTCTTCCCACCCGCCCCGCCCAGATGCTGCCCCTGGGAACCTGTATAAGACCACGTGGCACAGCTCCCTCCCGCCCTCCTGCCTGGGGCCACCAGCACCCTCTCCTTGCAGCACGGCCTGCCCCCAGGCTCCCTGCACCCGTGGCCTGCCCCACCTTGGCCTGGCGCTGCACTGCTCTCCCCGTGGTGGCTGGCGCCTCCTCTTTCTCCTCTGTTGGCACGTGCCCCCGACCAGGCGTCCTACCGGCGCTCATGTGTGTGTTCCTCCTTGGGATTCCACGTGGCCTCTGCACTTGGCCACTTGCTCCGGAAGAGCTGGGGAGTGTCAGATCACCGGGGCTAGGGAGGGGGGGTTCTGGCGTGTCTCGGTGGGCCAGGGTGGCTACCTGTCCTGTTCCTCCTGCTTCCTGGGTAGACTCGCCATCTGGCTTGCAAGGCCCTCAGATCTGCTCTGCTGTTTCACACTGGCCGTTGTATCCTGTTCCACCCCGCTGGGCGGCAGGAACGGGCCCAGGTCCAGAGAGAGGGACCCTGCAGCCAGAGCCAGGCGGGCAGGTGTTCGGCGGGGCTCAGGCAGGGCTGTATGGTGGGTGCGGCTCGCACGCCCTGCGAACTTCCTGCTTTGCTCTCTCTCTCTCTCTCTCTCTCTCTCCCCCCCTGTCCA